GAACACTTATGTAATGGGCAGATATGACGATTTTTAAGAAATACTATATTTTAGTGTTTGTTAAAAAAAATAATCAGAAAAGTTACTTATTTCGTATGAATGTTTGATGTCGGTGTTCAAGATCAGGTCAAAAATCAGGATTCATTCTTCGTAAATTGAAAAATATTTCAACTATTATTTATTTTCTCAAAATATTTTTTCGCATATTTAAGTTACTACAACAAAAGAAAATCATGATTAAAATCTCCATAAGCCATTACCGCTAGGGCACATCTACTGAAGTCGTTGCAACATTGGATGTAATACAGACAAGGCAGCCTGATAAATTTTTAAAATTCAGGGTTTTTCTTCCCCTGGACAGGTTGCTCGAACAAAGATAAATTCTCGTCTGTCCTATTATTTACTGGGGTTTGAATTCACATTAGTCATTTTAAACTGGCTTCCATTTAAAACTAGAGAGCCCAGTTAACCCTGCCATTTAACCCATAGCTGATGGGGAGACGAGATTGATTCATGCTTTCTCTAAAGAGCACTTAAAAGACTCAATCAGAATTTGAAGTCGGCTCGTCAATATCGCTTTCCCTATCCATAATTGTTACGTTATCAGCATTTCAAAAGAAAGGATTTGATTTTATTAAAGCGAAGATATTTTCATAATGCATTGATCACTGCTGAATTTTATTTTCTAACCAGTCATGTTCACAGAATACACATGCGCTTTCGTTCTTTATTTTATAATCCAATCGACACAGATTGTAAACTAAGAGTAAAAGGTTATAGTGAGTGTGGGGTTTTGGAATTACCAAATAGTTGGAATTACTAAACTGAAGATGTGGGTAACGTAACCCACGCTAAATTTGGAATCGGGGAGCAAAGTTCAAATCCTCGTCTAGTCTGTTACATTCACTTTCGCATAAATACCCTTGAGGAAGGCATGAAAGTAAGAGTTAAAAATCAGGGTAGAGGGAACTTTGCAGATTTCAACAGCAGCCAAAGGACTACTGTGAATACGAAACCGCGGAGAAGGCAACGGGTAACCAATTCACTGATTTTATCAAGAAATCATGGCAATTCACAAATTTTAAAGGGTAAAAAGCTGCGGCGGGTCATGATCACCTACGCCCCCGAAAGGGACATGGAATTAAAAAAAAAATAGACATCTAAAATAAACCATGCGTTGGGTAGGGGGTCTAGAATAATATAAAGCAAGGTTTATTTTTCAGTAGATCACGTTTACTGAGACTGTAAAATAGAAAACAACTTGTTTTGTTTCAAAGGGAGAAATATTTGCGAATGCACTGCATTGGAAATAGGTGGTGAATAATGACTACTTGCTATTTGTTTTTTTGCTCTTCTTACAAGCTACAAAATTTAAATAATCAAATATTTAAAAAAAAAATACAGAAAAATGTATTTTAAAACTATTTACACTAGTTACATTTTTCGGACTGTTATCCACATCTTTATTGTCATATTCACGACGTTTCGATTGTTGTACACCCCGACCTTCTTCAGGATCTGTCTATGTTTCTGAGATGAGGTATTGTAACTGTTTATATTATTTGCATTTTTCGGACTGTTGTCCACATCTTTATTGTCATATTCACGACGTTTCGATTGTTGTACACCCCGACCTTCTTCAGGATCTGTCTATGTTTCTGAGATGAGGTATTGTAACTGTTTATATTATTTGCATTTTTCGGACTGTTGTCCACATCTTTATTGTCATATTCACGACGTTTCGATTGTTGTACACCCCTGACCTTCTTCAGGATCTGTCTATGTTTCTGAGATGAGGTATTGTAACTGTTTATATTATTTGCATTTTTCGGACTGTTGTCCACATCTTTACTGTCATATTCACGACGTTTCGACAATTGGCCCACTGGATAAAAGCGTTGGTTAAAGTAATCCAGTGACTTGATCAAAAAGGTAGTGAACAGCAGAGGTGAACAAACCTTGGAGCGTTGAGTTACTAAAGAGAAATAACTAAAACCGAGATGTTCAGGCATGGAACATGGAACTAGAACAACATACCCCCGTGGAAGAAATAAAGGGTTTGATTCGTAATTCCAACGTGTATCCACCTAAAGAAGGCGTAAGCGTACAACGGCCAAAACGTCGTGAATATGACAAAGATGAAGACAATGTAAACGGTTACAATACGTAATCTCAGAAATATAGACTTATTTTGTAACTGATTATATGCGTGAACTCTGACTGCGAAAGTGACGATTTTAAAGATCCTTTAATATGATTTAGAATCTGTAATTCCGCGTATTTGCAAAGAATAACAGTCTGAGATTAGGTTCCATGTATAAAGGCACCGGGTGAAAAACGAATTCATTACAGTAGTGATGTACTGCAAAATAAAGCTTGAATTAATGTGAGGCACATACAACAGCTTCCTAAACTCAAGGGTGGAAAAAAAAAACCATAAGCGAGTGAAGCCTGATTGTCTTGGCAAAGATAATCCTTCTTTGAATATTGTGGACTGGCGCTACAGAACCACAAATAAAGAATTGTACCAAATAACAGAAACCACACCAGTTGAAGACAACCAACAGCGGCAACAACTAAAATGGATAGCACGTGTCACTTGAAGAGAAAATAATGACATAATCAAGATGTTGACATTCCACACCACTTCAAAATAAAGAAATTAGAAAGGAACCCCTCCCCCATACTGGGGAAAGTTAACAGCTATTGGACTTGAGGTTTTCCTGAAAAAGTGTTTTAAGAGAAAGGTTTTATAAGTTTCAACCGAATGCGGTACTGGCTGCTCGGCCAGTGAATGCAAAAAGTTTACTTGTAGTGATTTTTTTTTTAAATCAACTCACAAGATAATGCACCTAAGACACAAGGGGCTGCTGGGAGTAAAAGAGAATTAAAAGACTTTAGAAAGAACCGAAAACACAATCATAAACATAAAAAAAACAAGGGATAAACCTATACTCCTGTTCCAAAGACCGATAAGGAGTGGGAATCGAGCGATAGGTGAACTTATGATACTGCTATTACCATTACCCAAACTTAATTTACTATAGTTATTTTCTTACTTTAGCTTAGTTTCGTCACAAAGCTATACGTATGGGACTAATTGAAAAAAGAAATTGATACTAACCTTCCGCTAGAATACAGGGTGATTGAAAAGTAACTCTCCGTTTTTATGTATGATGAACTCTCCCGTTTAACTATAATTTTTACAAGATGGGAGAGTATATCATACATAAAATAGGGAGTTACTTTTCAAACACCCTGTAGTTACTGAAACGACGTCTGATTTAATTTGCATAAGAACAAATTCAACCCCAGAACTAAACAGTGGATCATTTAATAATAGTAATAATGAAAAATTTAATAAACAAACAATTACTCCCCCGCAATTAAGATAGTTGCAGGAGAGTAATTGTTTATAATGGGAGGGGGTATTGTGGAGGAGTGTTTATTATAAAATAATTAGTGTGGGAGGAAAAAATTAGGTCAGGAGGGAGAAAAAAAAAGAATGTCTTTATTATACACGAATAGCATTTATGAATCTTAAATTAGTCGAAATTTTTAAATAAATATCGTGACGTTATTAATTTCGTTATTGCTATTTCACGCATTCAACTTTAAAAAAGTCCGAAGGGCATTCAATATAAAAAATATAATATATTTAAAAAAAATATCCCAAGATGAATATATATAAAATATATAAATATATATAAAATATATATATATATATATATATATATATATATATATATATATATAATAATAAAATATATATATATATATATATATATATATATATATATATATATATATATATATATATATATATATATATATATATATATATATATAAATATATATATATATAAAATATATATATATATATATAAAATATATATATATATATATATAAATATATATATATATATATAAAATATATATATATATATATATATATATATATATAAAATATATATATATATATATATATATAAAATATATATATATATATATATATATAAAATATATATATATATATAAAATATATATATATATATAAATATATATATATAAAATATATATATAAAATATATATATATATATATATATATATATAAAATATATATATATATAATTTATATAATATATATAAAATATATAATATATATAAATATATTTATATATATATATATATATATATATATAGATATACACATATATATATATGGGTATTCTGATTTAAAGCATAGAGGTTCCATTTTGATACTGCAGATTGCAACGTCACCTAAATAGAAAGAAAATTTGACTGATTAACGTATGTTAGGATCTATGTACCTATTTAGCATACTTTTTAAAGATATCATCATCAGAGCCCTTTCTACTTGAAGGTACAAATCACCGTGAATTCTTATCTCCAGAAAGGGTCTTCTTTTCCGAGAATATCCATCTGCGCAGAGTCCCATTTGTATTTTTCCCCAAACCCCACATAGCCAACCTGTTTTTTTTTTTTTATTCTGCAAATATGCTGAGAGGACATATACAGTCATGGGCATATACAATTCAGTATTGTCATTCTTCAGAGGCCAGTCTGCCCTACTATTTAATCTACAGCTGAGGAGAGAATAAGCGGATTCAAACCTTTTCCAGGGGGTATTCGTGTAGATGTGAATGTAACGATCTCACCCCTCCCTCTGATTTCTTGTTTCGTGCGACTAACCCTTACACCACCTGCACATCGATATTAAAGAGATGATTGCATATAACTGATGGAGTGTTCGAACCTTTCTGTTTACATTGTTATTTTCGCCATATGAAGCACACAGTTTATTTTACAGATATGTTGTAACTAATGTTTACTTAGTTTAGTCAGGACTCACAAAAAGCTACATCAATCTGTCCAGATAGCTGAACTACAAACTATATTCGTCGTAGAATAATGCCTATTGTAATTTCGAAAAAATCAGTTCAGTTACGGTATTTAGGAAATAATATCCCAACAAAACTGTTAATATTGCATATCCTTAAATTCTGGTCAAAAGATGCTTCCGAGAGAGAGAGAGAGAGAGAGAGAGAGAGAGATAGAAAGAAAAATCTCAGCAAATGCATTTGTTAATATTTGAATACATCAAATATATTATTACTATAAATGTTATATTTAGTAGGTACACGTGTTTGAGTAGACGCCCTTTCAGAAAAAAAACACAGTGAAATTAAAATCTACTAGCCTAGAGATCGAAAATCTTCAACAGGGAGAGCAAACCTGCCTTTCTTTTAAACTAAGTCAAAAAGCACGCCTGGCTCGAATATGCCTTCCCAGGTTAAAAGGACCACGGGTTACATTTCTGCTGAATATTTTTTAATAATATTTTCGGTCTCTAAGCATGTAGGTTTTATTTTTACTGTTTTAAAAATAAATGTCTACTTAAACATGTGTACCCATTAAATACAACATCTACAACAAGAAATAATGTCAGATTAAAATAAAAAATTACACATCCACACACATATATATATATATATATATATATATATATATATATATATATATATATATATATAAGATTAGGTTTCGAAGAAAAAGTTCTACTAGGGTATTTCTGTACGAAATCATTTTTAAGGCAAAAAGTATTTATAATTATAGTGTTCTATATAAAGAAATAAATCGTTAATAAAATTAAATGTTCATTTGTCATTGCTCAGTTGGATTATATCCATTAGATTATAATCTCCGTGAAAAAAAAAATGATTTACAAGAAAAATATGATTTCTGAAAACAAACTCAGTTTTATAATTAAGTCTCCTGAAGAGTGAATATATTTCCACGAAAATCAGAGATAAGTGAACATTTAATAAAATAAACTATGCTTTAAATTGCGATAATACCGAAACTTATTACCTTATTTGCCGGCATCAAGGACGCAATTTTCCCTGAAATAAGTCTTGAAAATTTTTTCCTGCGAATGTTATAGGTTTTCATTGGCCTATACTGACCCCATGAGGTGGGCATCCCGGCGAGGCGTAATGGTTAGCAAGCTTGTCTCGCTAGAACAATTACGACTGAGTAGTGAGTTCGATCCTCATTGGGTGCCTCATACCTTCTGCCTTGTGCCACATCTCAGCTACGCTTAGAAAATTAATATTGGCCCCCTGAGGAAGTTTATTTGTCAGACAGTAAACTGAATTCCTTTATGTCATGCAAATTTTCGAGACTTATTTCAGGAATAAAACCGCGTCCTTCATGCTCGCAAAAACGGTAATACCACGTTTTCTTCTCTACAGGTGGCGCTGCTATCACCAATAACAAAATGGCGTCTATGTCTATAATCCGAGAACGATTTTATAGATACCTTGTATATGAATGATATTTATGTGTGACAAAGAAAGTAACCGGTGAAAGCAATAGTACTGATCTTGCATTTTTTTTTTTTTTTTTGTGGGGGAGTTCATAAAAACAGGTCTGTGTTAGATTAGGCGAAGTTCACACATTTGTCGATGTTTACTGAGCTTAGATTCAATACAACACAAAGCTGGCGAGAATCGAACACTTGTAAAACGGGCTTGCTTCTGCTCTAAGGCAGAATATCCTAGCATAGGAGATGACTGAGAGAGTTGTGTGTTTCTCATTGTGGTCAGTATTCGAATTTGACATTCAAGGTAAGCAGGAGATAGGACACTAGATACAACATTATCACCACAGACGCATTTATCTTTTCATACTAGAATAGCCTAAGTTTGCACTGACTTGGCGCGTGTATTTCATCCCATGTGTGGAACCAGATTAGAAAATGTAAATATTGCAATGGTGATTTTTAAAATAGGCACTATCTCAATTAGAATATTGACACAATATAATATGCCTGGTCCCTGTTAACTATATTTTGCTTTTTGACAGAATAAATCTAAAATTACTAAATATTTATATAATAAATTATTTTTATATAAGAGAGAGCAAATAACCGTTGTAAATGACGCCATATTAAAAATGGAATGTTAGGTTAAAGTAGTATTTTTGTTTGTTTATGTCACGAAGAATTTAAGTATTAAAAGAAAAAAAAAACTTTAGAAGGGAAGTTATAAAACTTGTGCGAATTAACAAAATATCCAAACCATTTTCCAAGAATTCAGTCACATTTGTTTTTAAAGAATTCCAAAATCCAAATGAACGTGTTAGATGCCAAATTTGATTCAGAATCGGTTTGGAGATCATAAGAAAATATGCATAAATTATGGAAAATAGGAATTAAAAAGTAAAAGAGGAAGTGAAACATGTGTTAACTGGGTTTCCCAAAATGAAGTGGGAGTTTATTTATTCTACGCTGCCGGATTCTTGGTTTCCTGTATGCTAGAAAACACTGATCGTATAGCAGGTGTGGTCCCATAGGAGCGACGTCAACTTACTCACAAACGCGGTCACTCAGTGATGTTTTTCTCTACTTCTGGGCTTATAGTTATTTATTAAGATTGGTTGAGTTTGACACAAGGCCTCAAGTGATGAGGATCAAAGTCACTAAAAATAGGTACCGAATTTCGCCTGCAAAGCGAGCTTGCTTCAACGTTGAATCGTTTTCGAATTTGCTAAGCTTAGCATAGAATGACACAAAGCTATATTAGGGGGTGTAGTCAGTGAAGATTTAAAGTAAAATTAAGTTAATTTGTCAATAAGACTGGTTAGCTAACCACTGTGCTACGAAACACGATTTTCTTTTACATTTTTAACCAAAGCAAACAAAAACAGTCATATTTTAAAATCGACAAGTAATTAAATATTATCAAAATATCCGGTTACATTTGGGAAGTGTGAGAATAAGCATTTGTGTTTGCACTTGTTTATTTTAGTTTTTAGCATATCTCTCCTTTTTCTATATTTTGTTATATATATATATATATATATATATATATATATATATATATATATATATATATATACACACACAGTGTAACCCGGACATAAGAGAGTTGTCGGGACCGGGAAGAAGTCTCTTATATCGGGTTACACACACATATATATATATATATATATATATATATATATATATATATAAGGCCCAAACACTAATATTACATGGTTATAATTTATTACATTGGAATCGTAATCACGATCCAAATCATCAGACCTATATATATATATATATATATATATATATATATATTTAATTACAATATTTCTAGTTGAGTTATGGCAGAACATTGACTGGGAAGGATAGTAAAGGGACAAATATTGCTCAGAGCGACAAGGGATTGGAAGCTGTGGAGAGCCATAATTACCTACCTAAAGGACACGGTAGATAAACGAAGAAATTATTAGCTGTTTAATGAAGCTGTAATATTTTAAGGCAAAGAAACAGATTCACACGAGACTTGCACAAGAATAATGAAACTGTTATGATGAACCAATGCATTCCTCACTACTACATTTTTCTTATTTTCTAACGACTTTGTTGTTCCACGCTGTATTTGTTGAATTTATCTTTTATATGTTACATTTTTTTTTTATCACAGAAGTCTTTTAATATATTTCTTCAAAAATATTTGGAAGGCACGTCTACCAGAAATAATCATTTTTATCAAATTTAATTTTTTTCTTTTTGCATTACAATAGGTTAAGCAATTCGGGGTCAGGAATAAACATTTTTTTTTAATTTAAATTTTATAAAATTTAATTGTGGGTCCAGTTTCCTATGTAAATTTGTTATACATTGGTTCTTACTACATAAACCCAAAGAAAATATAATTATGTGATTTTTAAAAAATCACATAATTATATTTATATTTACACACGCTCTATCTGTGATATCGAACACTTTATCCTATAAATATAGCACACCTTAAAATTATGTTTGTTTCTTTATATATATATATATATATATATATATATATATATATATATATATATTACTATCGATTAAGTACTCCAGGTTAATAATTCAAAAAATAACATAAAATAAATAATTTTAAGAAATAACGTCTTATTTGTTTTGCCATTCATTATTGTGTGTGTGTGGGGGGCAATTTATATAGGAAAGGGTACTTCCTATTATCGTTTATAAAATTTAAGTATATATAATGCTTTTCGATATCTGGGGTGCTGATATGAAAAGAATTTGTACTGCACCGCCTTTATTTTTGAAAATGTTTTTATTTGAATGCTTTTTTTTTATTGATTTCATTTAGTGCTCCCTCACTTTTTCTTTTTGCCAAAAGCTATTTTAAAGAATTCTTGTCAAACTTGGACCTTCGTCTCCACAAGAAACGGAGTGACAAAAAAGACGATTTTTCCATTGATATTTATTGCTTTAAAAATTTCAATTTGTAATAAAACCTAAACATATGATGAAAGTGAATTTATATATGTATTTGTTCTTGAGAATTTATGCCAAAAATATTAACCAATAATTAATATTAGATTGTTTATTTACAACAATAATTTTATATTTACAATATTCTCAAAAATAATATAATCAAAAATAATGCAAAACAATATTTATCATTGACCAATTTATAAATAATTAAGTATGAAAACAATTTTATTCATAAATTTATAAACATTTACTAAATTATTAAAATAGGTGATTATTTACCATTTTATAAAGTTCGAACACAATAAACAATTTAATAAGTAGTGTAAATAAGCAATCTAATAAATAAATAGTGTTTAATATTTTTTGTTGGCAATACTCAGGAACAAAAAATGTATATATTTACTTCCATATGTTTAGGTTTTATTACAATTCTAATTATAGCTTTTTAGAACAAATATTGCTGAGGAGTGAAGGTAGTTAAAATAATAGCGGTGTGAAAGGAAGAACCGTCCATTGGACACGGGGGCCCAAGTTAGCCATTTTTTTTAATATACATTTCATTGTAACTCTGTTTACAGTGTTTCCCGCGGACTACCCATACTTTATATTTTGGTCATGCCGCCACTCTATGTACTTGTAAAATATTTATAAGATTAACTACGAACGCGAATAAGCAACACAAGGATAAACTTATTTGATAATTTCTGACACAATATCTACTGAGATGTTATACTATGATAATGTACTTAATTAGATGTGTTTATATTATAAATATTATAAACTTAGTTATGTTAAGTTGTATTTTAT